GCAGATTAAATTTGCCTTTAATGCAGCATCAACAAAGAAGATACAGGCATAAGCAATTTTGAGGGTTCTGTTCAGTTTTTATTTTTTTATAGGAAACCTTTGAAAGGTTAGATTTTATGTTAGAACTGATGACTTAACAAGGTTTCATAGGAGACATACTTCTTGCTACCACTGTGATAGCATTTTCTTATATAAACACAGAAAATCAATTTTAGTGATGTTGTGATAAGCTGCTTAATTAATGGGTTTTTTAAGTCAATACATTTAAATAATTTATAGCTCATCTCTGGACTGTGCCTATGAAGGTATTTTGATGGAAATATCTCCTTCAAATATTAGTTGGAGGTCAGCTCCAATGTTTTACAGTTGCCCTAAAGTAAACTACAGCTGTGCTCTGGGTATTTAGGTCATGGTAGAACATTAAAAGAAAACTGAGCTTGTTTTGCAGAATGTTGTTGTTGGGTCATAATGTAACTTTATGTGCTTTTTAAAAGTGCATTTCAGCAAATTTATAATTTCAGATCTTAAATACTTCTGTCATGGTTTAAAAGGCCTTCATGGCAAGGAAATGGCTTCTCATGTAGGATAGTAGTAAGTGCTAGAATAGGAAGTTTGGCTAACCATCTTAAGATGCTTTCTTCCTGGTTTTTGTGAGATGAGATAACTGGAACAGGTTACATGAAACTAGTTTATCCTATAATTTCTGTATAGCAAATAAAACATTTTAAAATTATGAAATGCTCTTCTGGAACTCCGAAGTGTGTTTAGGCTCAATAAGTATCAACTCTAAAAAGTTATTTCAGATTAACAAGTTGCTTTCTAACTCTATCTTCAGCCTTATCTCTACCTTAACCATACAGTGTTTTAAAATATTGAACCCTAATTTGTTATCTACTAGGTTAAAGAATGAAATCGCCATTACAGAGAGAGAAGCCAAGTTGGAGGTCATGTCTTTTCTTTGCTCCACACAGCCTAACAATAGTATCTCTGAACTTCATAACTAGTTTGGACATCCAAGACAATTCTTTTTCAGCTATACATATGCTTCTGGGTCATGGCATTCCGATAATGTGTATAGTGCAAAAATCAAGGTTTCTGTGTTATACTACAAGATATGGCAGTGTTGGAGTAACACTGTTAGTATGTCTGCCTACCCGAAGATTTCCAGTTTGCAGTCAGCCTGTTCTGGTTCATTTGTGTCCCAGGCTCCAGTGAAGGAATTATTTAGTTGCTTGATGTATCTTCATCTTCAGGGAACCTGGAAATTGACCTGAAAATATAACCTGAGATCTGGTTAGATATCGACTCTGAACTGTGCTGTGAGAGGTGGTTTGTTTGTTGTTTTTTATTATTTGTACTTTTTCAAAGGGGAGAATCTTTGAAAATGTCTCTTCAGGCTCAAATTGTTTTTGTTTCTTAGGCATGTGTACGAATTTTCTCTCTCAGGAGACCAAGTGATCTCACAGTACATAGTCATAACTTTTTTCAAAAATAACATATTTGAATTGTGACTTTGCACAATTTCCTTCTCTAAGAAGCTGTGTCTCTGTTGTCCTTCAAAAAGGTCAATCTGTTACAGAAATCCCAACTAGTAAAAGAGTGGGAGAAGTCCTCAGACCTAGTAAAGATTTTTCTTGTAACACTGCTTGCCTTCTGCCCAAAATACAGAGAGGTTGGTGAGGTTTTTTTAACAAAAAACATCATTTTGTAGAAGTGTGAGATGACTGTTCATCTTCATTCAGCAGCTTTCAGCAAGATTCTCAAACATAGACCTCTTTCCATAGACTCCATTACCACCTCAGGTGTGTTTTCGTTTTTCTTGTGCTTTTTATTCATCCCATATTGTGTTTCAGCACTATAGAAAATGTGGAATCTGCATAAAATAGTTTTCCATAATATTGGCTTTCACTTAAAAATAGAATAAAAAATGCATCATCTCCCAACCCCAAACAAAACAAGTCAACCCATGCTCCCTAACCCTTATAGTTGGAAAAGATGGAGAATACAGAGAACAGGGTACTTTGGTGTTAGCTGTCTGAGCTCACAGGACACCTGAACCAAGACCTTTCAGAACAGTGAGCTCTGCTGTTCAGTGTGGTCTAGGCCATTTGGAATCACTGGTTATTTTTTCCAAGGTGCCATGGAATGCCTGTTGTTTTACTGCAACCTGCTTGATGTTTTGGGTCTTTGTTATACTGTGTTATAGCACACAGCAGGAGGCCAAGGACCAGACAAGGTGTTGAAGAACCGGAAATATAAATTGATGAATCAGGGTGTTTAATGTCCTGGTACCATCTCTGTGGAGAAAAAATACTATGCTAGAAGTATGTAACATTGTTTACACAGTTTTAAATATTTAAGAGTTTGTGATACAAATAATAGTTGAACATGTTTGTCTTTATGTACAGTGGCCTTTTTCTATTTTACAAACAAAATTAACTTTTATTTTTACATTTTAAAAAAGTTTAATTTATTAATTTTGTCACTTAGGCAATTAGAATTTCCTGAATGAGACTAAGATTATATGGGCAAGATGCCCTGTAGCACAGGAGATTATTTTAGAAGACTGTTGTGGCTGTTTTCAAATGGCAGCTTTCAGTCACTTGCTTTCCCATTATTCTAAAAATGGGAGGAAAAAAGTTGTCTTTCTTCATACTATTTAGAGTTAAATAGTTATTGGGAGAGATTTAATAGCGACTGAAAAGTTTCTTCTGTGACAAGCATTTTGTTAAGAATCTTCCTATACTTAATGTAATAGCATCTGTAGGGCTAAAACACTAAAAATGCTTCTTTTCCTTTCTTTTTTTAAAGATTAGTTCAGACTTTTTTCCCCTCTCCAAATAAAAAGCTGTCCAGACTGACTTTGCATCCTGCTCAATAAGGCATAATTGAGATTATGGATCTGAAAAAGGCTACAGGAGTGACTTGAAAGTTTTGCTTTGCTTCTGTGTTATTTTTTTAACTTGGAAGACTATTTGCAAACATCTGTACTGATAGACATGCTGAATCTCTTCTACATAACAGATTTATGGGAATGTCAGTGTGAAATTATTTTTGCAACTTTATATTGCAAACATGAATGTGAAATAAAAGAAATATCATTAATTATTGCAGAAAATTTCAAGACCTAGTTTATCTGAAGGAAAAATAGAAACACCACCTTTTGAAAGGTAAATATAATCAGCTGCATCTTGAAATCAGATATTTAAAACACATGCTGTATTATTTCTCAGGTAATTGGGCAAAAGTATTTAATTGGTATTTTCATGATGTATATTTTGTATGATAGAAAATTTTGAATGGTTGTTACTCAACAATATGGTTCCAAGTGTTGAAATACATTCTTAGTAATGCTGAAACTGAATTAGTCAAGATTCAAAATATATTAAATAAATTATACAGATTGTTAAAAGAAACATTTTTATAATATTGCATATTGAGTTATCCTATTACTGGGGCAATTGGAAAACAATTTTAAAATACAGTATAAAATGTTAATTCTTGAATATTCATTTAGGATTTTAAAAAAATAATCCTGTGTAATTTGTGGACAGGATACTCAACCAAATTCTTAACAGAGCAAATATGTGAAATTGTTGGGTAACTAACAATTTTAGCTATACACTTTAAAACATGCAAAATTGTTAAAGTTTTTTTAATTTTACTCTGGGGAATTAATGTGTAAGATTTAAATTGCCTTTGGTGCATATTGTGGGCAGACTTAATATAAGTCATCTAAATTGTTATACCATAGCCTGAAAATGTCTTATTCTGGTTAGCAATCTTTCACAATTGGTGGTGCAAATTTAATCTTTAAAAATTCAGTCGAAACATAATTGTTTTTTTGCTATATTTATGTTTATAGTGCCATTTAAAAAAAGGCAAACTGCTTTCAGAGTCTCTTCATAGGTTACTTTTCTATTTAGAAAAGGCTTTGCTTTCTCTAGTCATGCAGTGTGGGCCAAATAATTTGAGCTTTTACTTTAAAATGCTTAAGAATCAAGACTAAATGGTTCAGGTATTAGAAGATAACTTTGTCTTTAAGCTATGGGTTAGTAAGCAGTCACTGTACTTCTAATTGAATATGATGTGCTACTTTCACTTATCCTTGTTTTTAAATAGGCAGAAATAATTTTAATATATAAATCTGTTTTCTGTTAAAACTTCATTTCATACTGTTCTATGGGCTTTAGGACAGACATCTGGAGTGTTAAAGCTCTAGTACCAGGGTTTCTCCATCCTCATGTTTCTCTGTTATTAAGCCAAGTTTTGAGGTAGTAGGATTTTAAACCTAGAAATATTCAGAACCTAGCTTCTCTCAATCTTACTGAGCACCCAAATTTTGCAGCTTCCATACAAAGAGAAAAAGGAAAAAAAAAAATCCATTTAGTTTCTAGGCTTCAATTGCTTTCGGCGTGTGTATGTTTGCACCTGGTAGACTCATCTCCTGGATTCAAAATTGTCTTATACTTGAAGTAGTCTTATTCTAAACCCTGACTTCATACAGATCATGTGGAAGCTGGTTCATTAGTGTAGCCCCCATTTGATAGTCTGGCCAGTGTTTGGTTCATGCTTTTGAAAGCGAGTTCATTGCTTTTGTTCAACAAAAGTCAGATTTTACATTTTAACTGTCACTGAAATCCTCCTTTTTATGTAATATACTTATAATCATTCTTGCATTTTCCAGTCTTTGTCTAGATTTTTAGTTTTCTTACACTTGAACCAGTATTTTTTGCACATAAGAGTAGTAAGAGTATGTTTAATTCCTAGTATTTGGTGGAAGGCAATGCTTTTTCAGCTACTAACGTAGTAACAGAATGATTTCTTGAAATTCTATGTGATTTTTTTTTTTTTGGTGGGATTTTAATGTGTCAGAATTGCTATGTTCCACTTTCTCAGCTGCAGTTCTCAGCAGAGATAAATTATTTCATTGGAGAGCTATTCTATCTAAATAGAATTATTGCTGTGCTTAGTAATCTAAAAGATCACTGTTCTTTGTGGTAATTGTTTTTGTGATGGTGATTGTTGTGCAAAAACTTGTTCAGTTTTATTTTTATACTCTTATTTGGTATAAGTAACTCACAGGAAAGCATGCTGATGAGAGACTGCTTTTTTTCTGCAAGAGAAATTAATGTATAGGGTTTTTTACTCTTCCTCCTTGCTTCCTCTCCCTCCCTTCCTGTGTTTTGCCAAAAATAAGTGAGAAAGAGGGGATGGGTTTGGATGAAGGCTGGGATTTTGGTTACTGGAAGGTGAGGGAGATTGTGATGGATTTTTTTTTTTTGTGTGTATTAAGAGCAGATTTGTCCTTTGAGAATTTCTCCATGTGAATCTTGTGTGTGTGTATGCATATATGTAATCCATCTGGGATTTCGAGTTTGCTCTGTGTGTACTAATGAAACATTAGTCATCCCTTTATTGAAAACTTTTTTTGCATATCTGTGGTCAAAACCTCCTACATAAAACATAATGTGGTTGTTAACTGTGCAGCTACATCTCATCCTCAAGATGCTTGTTGAAAAGTAGTAACTGAAGATCATATATATACATTATTTCACTGTATTTTCATATGAAAACAATTCTAAATATTTGCTAGCATTTATATGGCTCTGTATAGCTTAAATGTTTCTCTGGAATAGATGAGGTAATTAGGAACAGTTATGGCAAGACCAGGTATGTCAGCCACAGCTGATGGGTGGTTCTGAGTGTTGGCTTTTATCCTAGAACTTTCCTCATACCCTTTTTCCCCTTTTTATCTAGAAGTTTGTGAGAGAAGAAAACAACTTGCATAGAAAATTTGTGTATTTGAGAATGTCACTTACTGGCTTATAGTCCAATAAATGGAAAAAAAAAATATCCTTTGTTTGACACAAGTAAGCAAATTTAGGTTGTAATTTGAAGTCCTTGTTATATATGAAAGATTGGTGAACAGGATAAAAAGATTCTTATTGACTACCTCAGTGACCAGTAAAATTTCACCACTCAAGGGTATCTCAGCAGCCTCTTATCCCTGCTAAAAATATTCCTCTCGCTTATGTTTGAAGTAGGAAATGGAATATTCTTGGATTAGTTTATTTAGGTGGAAGTAAAACTTGAGAGCATATTTCTAACTGTGTCTAGTATGTAGCATGTCTTCCAGAATAACCCTTTTCTGCAGAACTCATTTAGCATATAGGCAAATCACATGAATTACTTTAAGTTCCTGGATCACTAGAAGGACATGTCTAGACTTTCAGCTTGAAAATATATCATAAAAACATAGTAGCAGGAAATTGGTTATCCCTTGTAAGAGTCTTGGACCTGCCTGTTGCTTAGGTAATGTTAAAAGTGGTTTTAACAAAAAAATTATTTCAAACCATTTTTTAAAGTATTTGAAGAAATAAAATACAAAGGTATTTTGATTGATGAGGTATTTGGTGATATTATATTGCTCACATCATGTCACTGTTCAGAGACTATTTTCAATTTAAGTTTTAAGAATCATAGAACTCTTCAGGTTGGAAAGACCCTTGGGATCACCAAGTCCAACCATTATCCCTACTCTACAAAGTTCTCCCCTAAACCATATCCACCAACACCACATCCAAACAACCCTTAAACACATCCAGGGATGGTGACTCAACCACCTCCCTGGGCAGCCTATTCCACTGTCTAACCACTCTTTCTGTGAATTTCTTTTTTTCCTAATATCCAGTCCAAACCTCCCCTGTTGCAGCTTGAAGCCATTCCTTCTTGTTCTGTCACTAATTACCTGTTAGAAGAGACCAGCACCAACCTCTCTACAATGACCTTTCAGGTAGTTGTAGAGACTGATGAGGTCTCCCCTCATCCTCCTCCTTCTCAAACTAAACATTCCCAGCTTCTTCAAGCATTCTTTGTAAGATTTATTCTCTAGGCCCTTCACCAGCTTCATTGTCCTCCTCTTTACTTCCTCCAGCACCTCGATATCTCTCTTCAATTGAGGTGCCCAAAACTGGACACAATACTCCAGGTGTGGCCTCACCAGTGCTGAGTACAGGGGGACGATCACCTCTCTACTTCTGCTGGTCACACTATTTCTAATACAAGCCAGGATGCCATTGACTTTCTTGGCCACCTGGGCACACTGCTGAGGTTAAATTGGGAGACTTACTTGCTTCTGATTTCACTTCTATATAGAATTGTATCTGAAGTTAGACCAAATGTTCTTCCATCTTCCCCTTCAATTTATTTTGTCTGTCACCTTTTTAGGTAAGCTGAGCTACTAATTCTGATAAGTTTTGAAAGGTTTAGAATTTATATTAAACTTTTAGCAAATTTAAATCTTCACAGCGAAAGTTGAGCTCTGTCATTGAGAGGATGGAAGAAGCTGATGTTCCTATAACAAATGAAGAGAAATATTAGAAACTAGGATTTAGGATTTTGACTGTTGGACTATGAACATATGAGCAAAATGCCTACAGCAATAGAATTGGATTATATTGTAGTTTTGTGGGTGTAGTCAGCATTTGAAGGATACAGGTCAGTCTTTCTTTGGAGCATTCTGATTTATTTTTAATTCCTGCTCACCGTATAGCACTGTGTGCATGTGGCTTTATTGAAATGCTACAAGGCTTAAACGCTCCATTTGCATACCAACTTCAAACACTGTGGCTTAGTTCTTATTGTACAGTAAGTTTCTCATTTTTACTTGAGTAATTCAGTAATAGATCAGTAATCTTGATCTGTATTTCCTTTTATAAACATAGTTTTACTCTGAAAAGTGACTGAAAATGCTACTATACTTTTTAAGTGCATCCAAATTTATAATTGTCTAAATTTTAGATTGAAGTTAATTTAGATATCCAAGGGTTAGCATTTTTCCCCGCTTTACTCACATTAGTATTGCAGAGTCAATTTGATGGCATAAAGGCATGAACTGGCTTCTCTTTGCACTCCATCAACAAAAATTTCAAAGTATCTGCATCTGTAGAAGATGCTGCGAGGTAGAGGAACTTAGCATTGTAATTGGAAAATTCCATGTATCACACAAAGGGGAAAACAGCCTTCCTTTCTGGAGATGAAATCCCAAGAACTAAAGAGTACTAATTCACTGCTAATTACAAAGCTGAGTTTGTAAATAGATAAGAAAAATGCGACCGTTAATTAAATTCAGCTCATCTTGCTGTGGAACACTTAAGAAATACCAAACAGGAGATCAACACCACCACTTTCTAAGTGTCACTTTGCAGAGTACAACCACGTGTTGCTTTATTTCATTTGTTACAAAAATAACCTGTTGTGGCTTTTTTTTTTTCAGCAAACAAGAACATGACTCTTCAGATGAAACAAAAGAACGCAACAGAAACCAAACTAAAAAAATTGTATCAGCTGAAAAGAAAGAAGAAAACTCATCGCTGTCAAATATAGGAATTTTTCCTAGTTCAGAACTCCCTGACAACAGCTCAAAGAATTTATTGCATGAAAAAGGAGCATGTTGTGATTCAGATAATAACAAACAATTAGTAGATGAGAAACAGAAATGTATTAATGATGAAAGTGAGTTGAAAACTTGCCAGAGCTCAGATAATGTTGTCTTGAATGAGCAGACTAAAATACGTAACTTGGATGAAACTACACTTTCAGCAATGAACGCAAGGGATTTAAAACTAACATTGGGTGAAGATGTTAGTTTTGAGCAGTTCTTGAGGAAAAGAGATGACCCTGAATCCGTTAGTTCAGACATCAGTGAACAAGGCAGTATTCATTTGGAGCCTTTGACTCCATCCGAAGTACTAGAGCATGAAGCTACTGAAATCCTTCAAAAAGGTAATGTTGCACCTTCATCAAAGAAAGCTGGACAGCTCTCTGAGCAAACAGATGAGACTTCTAAAGAAAGCAGTCCCAACAGAATGGAAACAACTGTAAACAAGACAGATGAAAATGAAGAAAGCTGAAATTATGTTAATTTTATTGTTTTTTATAAACAATGGTAACACCATGGACCATTCCTGATGAGTGTGCTCACTGATGCTAACAATTAAAATTGAAAAAGCAGGAGGGGGGAGAGGAAGGAGAGAAAGAGACACTAAAGGGAAGCTTTGCATAGGAAGGTAGCATGTATGTGTATGTACAACTGAATTAATTAAATATACAAGAGGTAGCACGTTCAAATTTATCTTCCTGTCTCTTGGATGTTATATCTTATTAGATTGATATTTGAAAGGAGTAATAAATTCTAATTTTTATAGTTAACTAGCCCAGGATAAGGTGTTTTGTTTGCCAAGAAAATATTTTTTTAAATCCTTCAGTGTGAATATCATTAAACCGTGGAATTTAGTATGAATTCACTTCTGATGCTGAAATGGAGCACACTTGTAATGATGGTTATTGGTCTGCTGGTAATTTGGGTAAACATAAACCTTTGGACTTGGTGTCACATTCCTGTCTGTAAAAGCATGTAAACAGAATTATATGAATCTATGCACCTCTGTACAGGTGTAATCCTGCCAGGCTGTAAGCTTACTTTAATAAACTTTCAGTGAAAGTGGAATTATTACAATAAAAATATATATTTGTGGGGTTTTCAGTACGGGCTGTGCAGAAATACTGAACTTAATACTATTAAGTAGAACATGCTGCTGAAAGTACTCTAGCTGTTAGGCTTTTACCATTGTTTAGTTATTCTTAACTGTAGATGCATAGGAATGGTCTGTAAGCCACACCGAAGTACAGTTTTATGTAAAACCTGTTTTAAGCAAAAAGAAGGAAAACCCCGAACTGGAAACACCAACTGGCATGTATTTTGCTGTTTTGCAGCTGCTGCTGGCTAACTGTTACATAAAGGAGACAAGGGCATATAAAGTAGAATTGTACAGTTCAAATTTAGAACCTTTTGTAGTCTAAATTGTGTACAGAAAGATGGCTGCTGGGTTTTTTTGTTTTAATTTGGTTTTTTTTGTCTTCTAGTTAGCAGCTAGATTTAGGAATGCATATGATTAGTGGTAGCTTGCTCTTATGACTTCATTGCTCCATTTGAAACATTCAGAATGTGCTTTTGAATTACAGTTTTGTTTCTAATGAATGTTAAATGTTTTGAACAGCTGTTGAAGTACTGCTGTAAATTATTACTTTTTGAGTAAATATTTGCAACAAAATTGTCTTTGTGCATAATTTTATGCTCAGCTCAAAACTTTGGACATAGTCTTCCCACATTTAAAAAAAGATTTAGTGACCCTTCCCAAAAACTATTTTTAAATTGTGAATTTGAGACTTACTTGAGGTTTTTCTTTTGTTGGGTTTTGGGTTTCTTGTTTGGTTTTGTGTTGGTTGGGTTTGTTGGGGTTTTTTTAGAATTAAATGATCAAGTGCCTATGCATCAACATGTTTTTGTAGATGTGTATTGTGCTAACTTTTCCTGATTTTATAGAGGTGTTTTTCTGGGCCATCAGCATGCAACTGAAGTCTGCTCTGTCCTCCTAGGATAACTGAGCCCAGCTGCTAAATGAGTCCAATCAGCAACAGTATTAAAATTTAGAGACCATCCAGCTTATTGCTGGAGATTGTAAATAAGCCACTTAAATCTCAGCATCTCAAAAATTGCTTCAAAGTCTTTAGAGTTGTATGATGTAAATTTTGAAGTGCATCTTAATTTTCATCCATGCAGGTTTAGAAGACTTTTAAAAAGAAAAGTGGAACAGTTTGCCTAGTCACAGCTCTTCAAGATCTGACACTTTAAGAACTTCAAATAACAAGACACACAAAAAAGCTAGGAGCAATAAGTTGCAGTATTCTTTTATTCTTTAAAGACTTTTAGTGAAATTGTTACTCAAAGTACAATTAACCAGTTTAATGTCTTCATGCTTGTGCACATGGAAGATTATAAAATATAGCATGGCAATGAGGACAGCCTAAAGGGCTTAAGCTGTTGAACTTGATGTATGTGGTACTGAGGGAGTCCCTGAATGCATCTCTTTTTAAAATCAGAGAAATCTCTAGAATTTTTTATCTGATTTATGATCTTCCATGCAAATGATACATTTTGAAGAACACTCTTGATATGTGGTGTTGGAAAATATAAAACTCAACTGGAAGCAGTTGTATGAGACCTGCTTGTAAATTCCTCATATTTGTCTTCTATTATGCAATTATTTTTTTACAACGTTTACCATTTAGTAGGAAGAATTTGGAAGAATTTGACCTCATACTCTTGAGAAAAGTTGGGAAACTCAGATTGACAAGTCTGCATATTTGACAGAAGTATATATATATATGATCTCAGATACTTAATATGTTAAGTGTTGTTTGTTTTAAATTACGTAGAGAATGCTTATGCAGAAGGTAATGTTGGGTACAAAATGCCCAGATACTCAGCCCTGCCAAAAGAAAGGAATGAATGAGAAATAAATTGTTCAAGGAAGACCATCAGATAGCTTTCAATAGGCAAGTAAGTTGTATCTTGAAAACACTGGCATGCTATTTTTGTGAATGAGAAACTAAAATTTATTACAATGTTTCCTGTATAAAGCAATTAATTTGTTGAATGAACACTATAGGATGCTGCATAATTATGAAGATTAATCTATCAAGTTATTTGGAAGGTTTCCTAGAGTTAAGCTGTAGTGATACTTTTAGCTGAAGTCACTGCTGAAGTTCAAGTTAGATTGTATGCATTTTGTTGTTTGGAAGGAACAGCACACAGTTCAGGTTTTCAGTTGTTTCTGAGTAATTGTAAAGTTTATTTTCCACCCAGCTGTCACTAGTTCTTATTCCGTGCCACTCTCTTCTTGTACATACCTCAAGTTTTCATTGCCTTACCCAAATCCAGTAATTTAAAGTTAATTGTTGGTATCCATACTAGAATCACCATTTCCCCTCATCTCGAGATTTACCACATCTGCTTGAATAATAATTTCAGGTAACTTTTTTTAAAAGAAAATATATGCCACACATATGCTATATCTTCATTATTTGCGCTTAATGAAAAGCTGTTGTCATTATTAGCTTGTGGTCAGTGAGTTTTCAGTCACTTGGAGCTTCCTCAAGTGCAGCCAACATCTCTGTTTGCCTTGTGCAGTTTGGGAAAGAAATTGGCTTACCTGTTGTGCAGTTTTTCTTTAACAGAATGGTAAGTAAACCAAGGAAAAAAAAAATCTGGTCAAATCGTAGCACATACTGAGTTCTAAGTATGGGGTGATGTATTTTAAACAAGATTTTTATATCAAAAATCATGTCCACTTTTCTTTTCCTGGAAAGCAGGAGAGAGAAGATCCCTGGGCAGTTCGTGTTAAATCATGTTCTGTGATACTTTACTGCTGGAAGACATTAAAAACTGAAAGTCAGGGTAAATCATCTTGAGTAACACTTGGTGTTCTGCAAGGATATCAAAGCTTTTCTGCAGGCTTTAAGCATTGTTATATATATGCTGGCATGTAGAGAGCAGGGGTTTTTTTCATGCTGTAGGATACACTGATATTCCATAAAAGACTGCGGCCATAGGGTATCACAGTAGTGTTGTTTGTAGAATGAGTTTTATACCTGATTGTTCTCTTTTTGTTTTCACTAGCTTTTGATTTTTGAGGCTTGTGAGCTTATTTTGTCTAGTTGCAGGCTGTATTTTTGATGTATGCTTAATATGTCTCTAATAAATGAAAAAGTGGTAAGTATGATTTATGATTACTTGAATGATTTTTGCATTTAATAGCACATTTTCTCCAGTTCTCATGTAGCTCAAAAGGACAGGTTTTATTTCTTAGATGAAAACCAGCATGTTATCTCTTTGAAGGTTACAATTTATGCATAATTTTTACTCTATTTTTCCCATTAATTCAGTGCTGAAGGGGAAAATATGTTGACTGGAATTTCATATTAGTTTACAAACAGTATGAAGAAAGTTCTTTGCTACGTTCCTTTGAGTTTTGGAACACTGTTCTAGTTCTAAGACAATTAAAATTTTGTGTTCAGTCATTTCATTGACCCAAAATAATCAAGTTAAGTTGATGTTTCATGTATTGCACTAGATTAAAAAAAAAAAAAAAAAAAAAAAGTGGAAAACATTTGGCTATGAAACGCTTAATTTTGAGAGAGATTAATGTAGTTGTTAAGCCTGCAAAGTGCTATAAAGCTAATGTGTTTATTCATGTAAAACTGCTGGTTTCGTTAACTTACTTTTCAAACTTGTTTCACAGGATTTTTGTGACAACCACAAGATTTAACCTCTTCTTTGAGCTAGCAAGTTAATGGCACATAGTATAATTTACCCAGGATATTTAGTGAAATGCAGTGTATTCATTAAAGATAATTTAAACTGCTTCTTTTTCCCTGTCACAATCTTTTGTATCTTGAAATGTCTCCTTGTCTTGATTGTTGGTGTATCATCAACTTGTAAGTTGTGGCTGGTGATGGAAAGACAGTTCTACAGAGGAGAATCAAACATAAGTTCAGAATTTTAGTAATGAATAGTAATGTGCAACATGCAGGGCAGGTTGATTAACCTCCTTCATCTGATAAGTCAGTTTTTCTACTGACTCCTAGAATTGCAACTTGAGGAACCAGAGCAGTTGGCCACATCCAACTTTGATGGCTCTGAAAGATAGCAAAGAGCTACCTGATAGCCTTATCAGAATTCCCAAAATGAGACCAGGCAACACGTTCATGTTAGGAAAGCTTTGCTTCTATTTGTTTGAATTTCCACTCAGTTTTCTTATTTACTGGACACTCTCTTGAGACTATAGAAAGGCCAGTTATCCTAGAGGAGATGAGTGCTTGTGTGATCTTTGATGGAACCTAAAGGAAGATCTTAACATGTCATGTATGCGGTTTTATATTAATATAGTAACATGAGCCTTAGTGTTGAATAATGACATTTTATTAATCTTTGCTAAATAATTTAGTTCTGTCAGTTCTCTGAAGAGTCTCTGTATAATACTGTTTAAAACAAACATCCTTTAAGCTATAA